TTTTTTATTAAAGCCATACGGGGTAGTTTAGTAACCCTATGGTTAGCATTTTAGACTGCTTTAAGGATGTTATCCATGCTTTAGGCCTTTATCGTCAAGACTGTGAATGGGGGATGGGGATAAGGGTATTTAACATGTTTAATTATAAATGAGAACACAATAGCTATGACCTGAAGACAAGCAGCTTATTAATATTTGTCTAATCTTAAGATATTTTCATTTATATCTCAGCTTACATTGCATTCAATATATTTTGTTGCCTACTTTTAGGCAGTTTCATAAAATCGTTTGAACTTTAAGCGTAAGCTCTTTTATTTGTCTGTCTCTTTCGCACTCACTCACCTGACAATTGTACTCCATGTCCGCATAGAAGCCCACCGAACGCCTTTTGCAATCGAACGAGAATGTTATATTATCTAAATTCGTCCATTCCTTCGTCTTGTGGTTTTGAAATACTGGACTGGCTGGTTCCTGGGCATCGATGGCGACCAGCAATATATGAGCTATATAGAAAAAATCGGTAGATGATGAGTCTGCTTATATATGTTTATATCTATCAATTATTTTTTCTGAATTTCTCAGAATTTCAATTCAGTCATCTATACATCAACATCTTCTCTATCGACTCTTTTCTCTTATAGGGTCTTTGCTCCGTTATAGTATATATCTTTCTACTTGCTCTTACTGCTCTTCACATACTTATTATGTGGCTCACGCGTGCCATCGATTCGGCCTCAAAGTAATCGTCTAATCAACGCGCTTAGCATTCAATTATTCTGCCAACTGGTGTCTCGATCCCTGCTCGTGTCTGCTCGTTGTCTCTTGTCGTGTTGTCTGCTCGATTATTGGGGCCATAGTACTCACCTAGTAAAACGCCGGAAAGCCATAAAATTCTATAACTGTAAACCATTTTTGTGGTGCTGCACATTTTGGCCAGTGTTTTGGTTTGGCTCGTTTCGCTGCTCTCGCTCTCTCAATCTCGATGTCCACTGCAATGCTTGCAAACGTCGTTGCGCTCTCTCTCTCACTCACACACACACACACAGGCTGACACACGTGCTACGCGTCCATTTAGCTGGCAGTTTTTCAATTAGGAAGCGTGGCTTTGTTTATGGCAGCTGGCACATGGCTAAAATGAAAAGTAAAAAAATCAAATAAGATAAACATTGATTTGTTGTGGCAACTGGAAACGACTGTTAATTGTTAATTGGCGCCCAACTTTGGCTTGAGCCAGCACACATAGACACATATACATACAAGCAAAAATTCATTAACTGCATTACAACATCTTCAACAGAGACGAAGTCGGCGACAGAGACAGAGACGGAAACGGCGACGGCGACGAAGGCAGCTTCCATCTCTATTTCTTTACATGGTCAAGCCAAACCCGCGATTTGTTTCTTTTTTTGGAATTGAGTCATCAAAAGTCGAGCCAAAATTTGAAGCTGCTGACATCATCATTGATCCGCACCCGCATAACAACAGGATATAGTTAGGTATATAGGTATATATATATATGTCTAGACACTGACCCACTTAGGGCTGTGCCAAACTGTCTGTCAATTCTATACATCAATCATTTGACAGCGAGTGTCAAATTAACACACAAACACACAAAGAAGCAGGAAAAGACAAAGGCACCGTTTGAAATGCCATTAAAAAACAATAATTCAATGGCAGATCCAATCAGAAAATAGAATTTATATATGCAAATTGATTTGATTTGATTTTTATTTTGTTTGTTTCTTTTTCTTTTTTTCGGGCGGCGCGAGTAAAAGAAAGAAACGACCTTGCTCACGTTTGTTGTTGCTGTTGTTGTTGTAGTTGTTATTGTCGTCTGGGCTAACTCCAATTAATGTGTCAAGCAGACTGGCAGGCAGGCAGGCAGGCAGGCAGTCAGGCAAACATGCAGCCACAGGTCGGCCTCCAGACGAACGACCCGATTGAGCGATTAGCCAGCCGCTGATTGCATTTTATATATGTACATATGTATATGTATTTCATTTTATTGCCCTGCGACGATCTTTCTCTTTTATTTCGCTGCATTCTTTTTGCCCAAAACAAATCCTTGACATTTTCTTGAAATTTATGTCTGGACATATACGACGATTAACATCGCGCTTAAGTCAGCCCGGTCGGCGCAGACAAATAATCGTAAATTGTTTTGCAACTCCCCCGCATTTCCAACTAATTTTGTCGGCCACGGGAACAGAGTTCCCAACAACAGCGACAACTCCAATCCCAACTCCAGCTCCAGCTCCAGCTCCAGCTCCAGAGACTGCCACAAAATGAATGATATGCAGATTTGTTGTTGTGCTTGCTCAACACTAAAGGTCAGGCAGACGAGTCAACTATGCCAGGCAGTCGCAGCAGAGGCAACAGCAGCTGCAGAGTTAAACAAAGAGGCGCCTGCAAGATGACACAGCAGCAGTCTGCGACCATTGGCTGTTTTGTCTTTCACCTTTTCCGTTGACCATGGCGCCTGACTCCCCGCTCAATTATGATCTTTACCCCCTGCACATGCCCCTGCCCCTGCCTGCTACGCAGCCAAACTGATGTAGCGATTGTCAGAGCCAAAGCTTTTAAGCGTGCGTTAAAATTTCCGCAAAAAATGCGCGTCTTATTATATGAAGAGTAGTACCAAGGAGTCTATTGAATATATGACTTGTTTGGCTACATAGGAAATGTTGTTTAAATTATATTATTATGCTATCAAATGTGGTCAAATATAGTTGTGATTATTTCAGTTGGACCACTCAATTAATAGTTGATGTTTATCGTAAATTTTCTTGTTTTGAAATTCACATAGCCATACGGCTGAAATGGAGTATACTGTTAGTGTTCAGTTCATATATGCATATAGCACAAATTTATGTATATACTAAAGATATTACTCTCAGAACCAGAATCTTTGTTTATTTTGGACTAACTTTATTAACACAGATGTGTTATTAATAGATAAGTTCTTAACACAGTTCCCACTAATGCAAAACCACTCTAAATAGTTGCAAAAGCAACTTAATGTTATGATAGCTACTATGGATAGCTTAATGAATTTTACGATCTAAGTGGCTCCTCAATTTGTATATTTATAACACAATGTCTTGCATGCGTTTGAGTCGATGTTTGGCTAAAAGATTATCTAGGACAATTAAACATTCTTAGCATTTCTTAGTGGAC